GTTTGGGTGGTCTCTTGGACAAATCACCCCAAAGGAGAGTTCGGGTGGTCTCTTGGACAAATCACCCATTGGGTTTCCGTAATAGGGCCTGTAAGCAAGGRAAGGCGCAAGGGGAAGCAGGGGGCTTTCGCACCGTGGACCGACCCGTGACGGGATCCTACGCGCGGGACCATAACAGTAAATCTAAAAAAAGAAGATGAATTTCTTGATAAATAAAAACCAAAACCGCTTTGACCAATTTTCCCCCACTCAAAATCTAAAAAAGAACGCCCCATACCCGTAGGAATCAAAAGGGACCTCTGATTTAATTCTCAGTTAGGGAGCATTTCCAACTTCAACTATCGTTCGAGATTTTACTTAATCCTAGATCAGAACGTCCATGCAACCGATCAATATGTGTATAGTGTATTTTGGTCGGTAAGTGATAAATCTTGTGAGTATGCTGATCTAGGGATTCATGTAACGGCAAGGAAAATATTTCGATCCAAGAGCTGTGATGGGTATTTTTTTTAGTTTTTAATTTTTGATTGACAAAATTTTTTGTGTAGTCTTGTTTATTTTCCTAGTAAAATTGTTGAAGCATGTGAATGAGTTGGGTTAAGTGATAAACCCGTATCGACTCAGAAATAATTTATGTGGGTATAGGGTTGAGCGACTTGAGCCAACATTACCCAACCCTTTGTTAATATTTTGTTTTTTTATTTTTTGGCACTATGCTTTTTATGCAGCCTTTCCTTTCTTTGTTTTACAGCTGGGTCAGCCGATAGGATGAGATGTGGATAACACCTGAGAATTGAGTCATGTCATCATGCTTATCCTTTAGACAACCACAAGGCCAAGGAAGTCCGCCTTTTACTTTCAGCAAAATCTCATGGCCCCCTACAACACAATGGGGGAGGGCAAGGGCAATGGTGCATGGAGAATTTTCTTATAGCATTTTTTATGAGTTCACTTTTGAACTCGTCACTGTATTGCAATTTCCCCACCAACAAGTCATGGTGTGACCAATAATAATTCTAGGTGGAGTAAGAAATCTGGGCTCTTTCATTGGTGTCCATCTGATGGCAAAATCGAATTTAATGACAAGTGTCAAATTATGAATGGTGGACGGAAAATGTCTCTGAATTTTAACGCCTTCTTTTCTGTGTTTTTCTATCAAAGGGTGTAATTAGTTTAACTCTTGTTCCACAATTAAGTACAAAGTTTTGAGAAAGATTGAAATTAATTGGAACAACTGGATTCTCCATTTCGATTCCTTATATTGAAGTTGATCATACAAATATCACTTAATTGACACCCAAAACATCTATCTACCTATCATCCATTTTATTTCTTTGTCTAAACTAAAGCACAGGCCGGACACGTTGACCTAAGCTAAAATCAAAATAAACCATTCATCATCATGGCTCTCTATTCCCTAAACCTTCTTGGATTTACAAGTTGAAATTGGCGCAATTTGTTCCACCGCCCACCAGAGAATTACTAAACCCTAGCTTCGACGAAGCTACATCAAACACCACAAGCTTCTCCTCCAACTGACGTCCCCCTATCACGATAGACGTTCGAGCGTTTTCTCCTTCGTCCCCGAAGGCTAAGCACATCACTCCATCCTCCGCTTGCACCATTAAATCCGACCCCGAAATTCTCCAGACGTTATTGTCCTCAAATACCAAATCGACGGCCGGCACCCGTGGTCCCGTGGCTGTGTGTTCAATGTTCTTCGAACTAAAACAAGCCGGAAAGTCTCCTAAAGGAGGTTCAACTCTGCTGATATTCATTGACGCAGCTGCATTGGAGTAAGCCTCCGCAAGAGCCTCGTAGATCGATGTATGTAAACTGGTATAAGGTGTACGTGTGCTAATCTTTGTACCCCCAAATCCATCTTTGTTGATGGACAGCAATTTCCGGTTGATGGGTAGACGTTTTCCATGGACATTGATGGATTTCACTTGGATGAAGTATTCATAGGACGAATCGCCTACTCTGAAAGATGGGGCCGTACTCACTGGGTTGATGATGAGAGGTGTATAGGTGAGGAGCTTCGAGTAATCAATTTTATCTGGAAGCGAAACGTAGTGCTTGTTCCCAAAAATCATGACCCCATTAGACGTGGTGGAGGATGGCAAGCAGAGAGAAAATATGTGAGGCAAACCAGATTTGGAAGCGAGCTGGCTGGGTAACGAAACCGGGGTCCTTGCGAGGCCTAGCATTCCTTTAACACCAACAGCGAGTCCCTGTAAGTTGCGTGTATCAGCACAGGCGAAGGGAAACTGGCGTACAACGGCAAGACCACCACCTGGTTTCCTCCCGCCGCTGGATTGGAGGGCAATGACGTCTTCGGCGAGGCCTCCGCCATATAAGAAATCCTTGATGAAAGGATTGTCTAGGACAACATCACAAGTGTTGTTTGTGCACCCTGGTCTAGGGGCTGAATGGCACTCCACGATGCACCCGGAGCTCTTTGCAACTTCACATTTGGGTGAGCCACATGGAGTGGGGCGATAAGAAGATGAAACGTAACCATCCTCACAGTCGACCCATAAGAATGGGCCTGATAGATCTACGAAAACATTCACAGGCGCAAGCGGGGTTCTCATTTTGATCGTGGCCACATATTGCAGGGTCTTGGCATCTTTCTTCACAGGTATTACGAGCGCATTTGGACGTGGTTGTCTAGCCGTTGCCGTAGTGGAGGCATTTGATATGGGGGTGAGAAACAGAAGGCAGAGGAAAAGGAAATGAAAAGCAGACATGTCTCTCGCCTGGTTCGTTCGTTCTAAAAAAGATGCCAGGGAAGAATCCGAGCATGGAGAGAGTCCAAGGCTGTTGCTCTGATTTATAAGGGGCGAGTTTGATGTCTCACAGTCTCATCTCATGTGCGCTGCATGAATGCAGCTTCGGCGTGCTGATGACTTCCAATTCGACAAATGACGGCAGCGGTCAAACTATTCATAGTCGCCACGATAGGATAAGATGGGTCAGCTTTGGCAGCCAGCCTGAGCCTGCCATAGACAAGCTCTCAAGACTCTAGAAACGATGCATCCATTTAGTGTTGGTCCTTAAGATATTTGGTACAATCGGGCGAATGTGGGTGGAAGTGTAAATCGGACCGTGCCGGGCCTGGCACAATTGAGTAGGCCATTCGTGGCCCGTGGCACAGCTCCAGGGGCGGAGATAGGGGATCCAGGGGAGCCATGGCCCCCATGCTCCAGAAATCCGCACACAATATGTAAGTTTCTTCCCTTCCCTCACTTCTCACCCAATGGTTCATTCCCTTATAGCCCATTCATAAGTAATACGGCCCATATATATATATATATATAATTCATATAAAATAAAATTTTAACATTTATAAATTTTGTTATCTATTTTTTAATTTATTTTAAATTTTTCATTCATTTTTTTCAAATTAAAAAAAATGAATTGGCCCATAGCTCAGCCCATTTTAACATTTATAAATTTTGTTATCTATTTTTTAATTTTTATAAAATTTTTCATTCGCTTTTTTCAAATTAAAAAAAAAATGACTTGGCCCATAGCTCAGCCCGTGGCCCAAGCAAGGCCAATCCCCAGAGTATTCTATGAGAGGGAAGCATGACCCGCACTTTGTACAAGCCACATGCAAGCCATGCCATGCCAGCCCAACATAGTTTGATTTATACCTCTAAACATGGTTTTCAAAACCAAACTAGACCGGATGGTCGGACCAGGAAAACTAAACATGGTTTTCTAAACATGGTTTTCAAAACATGCAAGCCATGCCATGTCAGCCCAACATTCCCCCAAAACCGTTTTTTCCCTAAAACCGTTGATTTGGGTCAATAAACCGCTGAACCAGCGATTAACCGTTTTCTAATTTTTTTTATTTTTTATATTAGAATAGGCCAGCCGTTCAGGTTGAATTATCAGACCATTCGAGCGATAATCGGACCCCTGACCGGTTCAATCACCGRTTCGTTTTTAAAAACCATGCCTCTAAATGTGGGTCAGCCGCCTCGTTAACCTGCATTTTATTTTATTTTGAAGATGAATTGTTGCATTATATAATCATAATCCAGTTAAGATAAGATGGTGAAAATGAAGAAACTTGCTTATGGATAAGGCCATAAGGGTGCAACGTGGGCCTGGGTTGACCTGGCGGCTTGCCTGACTTCTTGCACCCTGTGGAGGGACATGAATCCGATTTCCGCATATGCCTCCACGGCTCCACCACAAGAGTGGTATTTTCTCTAAAGCATCCACTGTGTTCTTTATGGTTATAATAAACCAACACACCCACTCACCACCTTCCCTTACCAAATAATGTTTACAATGTTAAAAGGCTTCGTGCATTGACCTCCGAACAAACACCAACCTCTTTAATGCAAGATATTAAATAAGGCATTCCTTCAGTTTGAAGAAATATCGTGATGTTTTCATAAGGATGAGTTTTATCAGAAAACGGTGTTCTATAGGCATGTTGTTTTAAAAAAAAAATTAATTTTATATTTGATATCATTGTTTGTTGCTGCCATATAGACATTTTTATTGCCATATTAGCTTATTGTTTGCAACAGTAGAAAAAACAAGAAAATGAGAAAAAGGGCATTTTCTCATACCACACCTTTCCCAATTTCTAAGGTCTGGTCCGAGAAAACTTCTTTTAAAAAACGGCTAACTAAACATTGGGAAAATCTATGATAAAGAAAAGATATGATATGGAAAGAATTTTGACCAATTAAAACCCACCCATGAATTTTGATAAATAATACCTTATTTTCTATCATGTTTATGATTCCAGTTTATTGGTCAATTGTTTTTCAGATATCATATCTTTTGCATATCATAGTTGAAACCCTAAACATTAGGCGTTTAACAAAAAGATGGATTTCAGAAGTGGTGTTGATGTGGCATTGATTTTGGAAGAAACGACATTGATACCAAACACATCCAAAAGGGGTGTTCTACAACATGAATTGTTTTTCTTAAGCCATGTTTCGAAGTGCTTAAAAATAAGTGCTTATTTGGGTCGGGACCACATCATTAAGCACATATTGGTGTTTGGAAAATAAGTCTGAAATAAGTGATTATTTTAAAAATAAGGGCTTATTTTTTAAGCCTAAATGTCTAGTTTTTTAAGTGTTTATACAATATGAACTTAATTCAATTTTTTTCTTCCAAAATTATCCCTACTTGAATTTTAAAATACCGCTGATAAAATTATCCCTAGTTGAATTTTATAAAAGTACTTTCATAAAAGTACCTCTCACAAAATTACTTTATATAAAAGTGGTTTTGTAAAAGTGCTTTCATAAAAGTATTTTTATAAAAGTACTTTCATATGGTGATAAGGGTATAATTTGAAATTTTGAAAGAAATAAAGGACAAAATAGTCACAAATTCTTATTTAAGTGCTTATCGGAGAAAAAAGACTACCAAACGCCCAATATGAAATAAGTGCTTTTTTTTTAAATAAGCACTTGAAGAAGTTGGGTRCCAAATGCAAACTAATGCTTATTCGAATAAGCATTTGTTTTTAAGCACTTATTTTTAACATAAGCACTCCCAAACATGGCCTTATTATTGGCAGTTCCAAAAAAAAATCAAAACTGTTTGATTTGAAATCAAATTGTTTCTTAAAACAAAAACACAAAAAAAAACATGTTCTTGGTTATGTATGTGTTTTTTGTTTTCAAAACTAAAACCAAAGACATGTTCTTGAGTTTGGTTTTAAAAATTTGTTTTCATTTGATTGTTTAACATCATGTTCAATAAATCATATAATTTCTATACTAGGAAATTTGTTTTTTGTTTTAAAAAACACTATTTTGTTGGTTCCAAAAACATTTATTGTTTTTTAAAACAAAACCAATTTTTTCTTCTTTGAAAACAAAACAAAGTTCAAGAACATTTTTTTTGTTTTTCTTTTTTTTTTTTTTGCCAATGTGTCAATTCTAAAAACAAAAGCATTCATGTTGTAGAACAACCCCTAAGTGTTGATTTTATTCATTATACATATCAGTTATTTTTTGTTTATTTCATTAATAATGTATAATCTTCAATTCTTTATTTTAATTTAGGATAAAAGACTTAAACCCCCCTTAGTATTTCACCTAAATACTAAAATATCCCCTCACTTTTTAAATTGGGCTGATCTCCCCTCTAAGATGACATCATCATACAAAAGCCTCCCATTCCTTATTTCTCTGTCCATATCTATTAGCACATGACATCATATAGTATTTTAAAAACTCCAATTTTATCCATCATTATCTCTTTGCTTAGTTTTTTGGGTAAATTACAAAGACCCCCCTATACTATGGGATCTGTGACAAAGACCCCCTGTACTTTGCTTTGCGACAAAGACCCCCTATACTATGACCATGAGACAAAGACCCCCTTCCGTTGCAATATTTTTTTAATCCCCTTACTACCCTTGTAATAACTATTCGAACAAGAAAAACACTATAAATCTTCCCCGACCTCACGACACACTAACAACAACGGTGGTAATCCCCTCTATCTCATATTCCTTCATATTTCTCTCTCTCTCTCCCCCCGATCTCTCTTCTTCCCCTTCCCTTTAATAGCATCGGGATTGAACCCATTTTAACGAGTTTGGTGCGATTGCTCTGAACGAGTGAGAGGTGATACAAAGCTAGCGCTAATTCATGCCAATCCCACTCGCTCTTGGACCATAGYAAGTGCAAAAGCAGTGGCAATGCCCTTAACACCCCTATCGCCRTTTTGTTGTCATCATCAAGCGCAAGGTTGAAGACGGCACCGGCCGATGATGTACAGGGGGGTTTCACCTCCTACTCATTTGCACCAAACTCACGAAAATGGGTTCAATCTCGATGCTGTTAAGGGGAAGGGGAAGAAGAGAGATCAGGGGGAGAGAGAAAGAGAGAGAGAGAGAGAGAGGGGGGGAGAGAGAGGGAGAGAGAGAAAGAGAGAGAAATGTGAAGCAATCTGAGGTAGAGGGGATTATCGTCGCTATTGTTAGTGTATCGTGAGGTCGAGGAAGATGAACATTGTTTTTCTCATCCGAATAGTTATTACAAGGGTAGTATGGGGATTAAAAAATATTGCAACGACTTTTTTGAATGGAAGGCTAACGGAAGGGGGTCTTTGTCTCACGGTCATAGTACAGGGGGTCTTTGTCATAGACCCCATAGTATGGGGGGGGGTCTTTGTAATTTACCTTTTTTTAAATCCTCACATAGAAAAAGAAACCTTGAATAGATCCATTCTTGTTTTTAGTATGTATGGTTAAAATAAAAAAATCTTTACAAAAATAAATAAAATAGATAAAAAGGATTTATGAAAGAAAATTTCAAGTGAAGATTTAAGAAAATAAGTTCATAAAAACATTTGTTTACCCCATGGTTTTTAAAAATGAACCGGTCAAGGGTCCGGTTACTGGTTCGAATGGTTAAATGGCCGGTTCAGCGGTTTGCTGACCAAAATCAACGGTTTTGGAGGAAAACGGAACTGGTTAGGTGACCAGTTCCTGGTTTTTCCAATCCGACTATCCGGTCCGACCTGGTTTTGAAAACAATGGTTTACCCTTTTGTGAGGCAATTAAGATCACCAATTGTTAATTGCCATTGAAGAAACCCACTTTCTAGACTTGTAGTTAATCAAAAAAGTGTAAGAATCCATCACACTCAACTCTCCACCTCCTCAAAAATGTCAAAAAAGGAATCTTCAACAACATTTTTCCATAAGGCTTAGTTCGGAAAGAGTACAAATACAAATATGTACAGTACAAATACATATAAAACAATACAAAATACAATGTTTTGCACTTTACATATTTGTATTTGTACTCCATCCAAACTAAGCCTAAGAGATAAACACATTAATTGAGTATTTTCACTGATACAATCATTATCTGTTACACCATGGAAATAAGTTGGTTTAGATGCAAGAGTTCTTGCTCCATGACGGTGGTCAAGTTTTTATGAATTTAAAGGTTGGGTTTTTCACTTTAAGTTAATTATAAAAAAATTAACCAATGAAATCCCAAGTTTAATTTGGGGTATATTAATCCTTTTCCTTTTTAGTCAAAGATAACCATTTATAAATGTGAGAGGTGACGTCTATGCCTAATTTGGAATGAAATATAAGTGGAGGTTTAAGTCTTTTACCCTTTAGGGGGCGTTCTTTTTTTAGATTTTGAGAGGGGGAAAAGTTGGTCAATGGGATTTTGATTCCCATTGACCAAAAATCCTATGCTCTTTTTTCAGATTTATGTGAGGACTAGGTGAATAAATAACTTTTCCACCTTGGGGGAAAATTTCCAATACTTGAAAGGGACAAAAATACACCTTATAATAATGGATTATTATGGCTAAAATGATCATTGTCTTGTTTGCATGAAAAATAAAAGAACATGAATAAATGCACTTACCGGATAAATGTTTCCCAGAAAAAACTTACCCGCTTAAGTAAGTTACGAAAAAGCTAACAAGGCCTTAATCTATTAATAGTGTTCAATATCTAAAATGAAACTAAACTTAATCTAATCTAATTCATGATGAATAAGATCGCATATTCCTAAGAAAATGTACTAACTTCTCTTTTTTTTGTAATTAAATAAATAAATAAATGTTGGTAAAGTAGAGAAAGTGAAAAAACAAATCAGCAATAGGTCATGATGTACCATTTGGAGTCCACCTCATGTTAGACTCCTGTACATATATTTATTTAATGCTGACAAAGATGCTTTGCGCACCTACACTCTACACACACACACTGACTGACTAGAACATATATATTAAAACAAACAATTAAAACGTCTTAGTCCAGCCCATAATTAAGGCAAACCCAAATTCTCATGTCTAATTTAATTTTTTGGCCTTGTCTACACTCCAGAGAACTAGATTCTAGACTTTGGATGTGAAGTTGAAATTGGCGCAATTTGTTCCATGTCCCAGCAACGAAGAAGTGAAGCCAAGCATCGACGATGCAAGATCAAATTGAAGAAGATTGTCCTCCAACTGGTGTCCTCCTATCACAATGGAGGTTCTAGGATTTTTCCCTGCATCCACCAAGCCTAAGCACATAACCCCATCCTTCACTTGCACCATCGAATTCGACCTGGAAATGCTCCAATACACATCCTGGCTGTGCAGTACAAGATCGATGGCAGGCACAAGCGGTCCCATCCGGGTGCGTTTGATGCTCTTCGAGCTAAAGCAAACACCGAAAGGTGCGACAGACGCTACTCTACTCATCTTCATTGATGCAGCCGCATTTGCAAAAGCTTGAGTGACAGCCTTGTAGATCGAGGTATGCAGAGTGGTGTAAGGGGTGGCTGTGCTTATCTTGGTGCCACCAACGCCATCTTTGTCGAACGACAGCAAGGTTGTGTTAATGGGTACCCTCTTTGCATTGATATTGATGGATTTAACTTGGATGAAGTATTCGTCTGATTGATCGCCTTCTGAATAAATGGGGGCAGTGCTTACTGGGTTGATGATGAGTGGTGTATAGGTGAGAGAYTTGGAATAATCCACATCGTTGTTGGGATTCAGCATGTAGCGTTTATTGCCAAAAAACATGGTCCCATTTGAGTTTGGTGAAGATGACAAGCAAAGAGCAAACACCTGAGGGAACTTACTAAACTGGGATGCGAGCTGGGTGGGTAGCGCGGTTGAGCTCCTAGACAAGCCCAACATTCCTTTAGCGCCACGAGCAAGGCCTTCCAAGTGGGATGTGGTCGCACAGGAGAAGGGAAATGGGTGTATGACAGCAACAGCACCTGGGTTCTTCCCATCCGTCGATTGGATAGCTATGACGTCCTCAGAGAGCCCTCCGGTCATGAGTGAATTCTTGATAGGGTTGTATGGGAACACAGAACAGGTGTCGTTGGTGCACCCTGGTCTGGGCTCCAGATTGCAAGAGAGGCACCCAATGCCCTTTGCCAGTTGGCATTTGGCCGAGCCACATGGAGTGGGGCGGTAAGAGGATGATATGTAACCATCGTCACAGTCCACCCATAAGAGTGTGCCTGCTAAGTCAACGACAACCTTCACAGGCACTAAAGGGGTCCTCATTTTGATGGTGGCCACGTACTGGCTGGTCTCGACATCTTTTTGGACTGGAATGACGACTTCACTTGGCCGGAGAGCGGCGTTTGAAATTGGAATGAGGAGGAGGAGGAGGGTAAAAACAAGGAGATGAATACAAGTAGCCATTGGAGATGTGGAGCTAACTGCGCGCAAGAGCATGTCTATAGGAAGAGGGAGTGAGGGAGTGCTGCTTTTATAGCTCCAGCGTTCGGTAGAGTCGGTGTCCTATAATGTATTGGTGTGATCCAGGTCCGGTCTCCGGTGATGACCTGTTTCAATTCCTTCCTTTAAGAAACCACGGGCGGGTTTGCGCCATCGCGCCAGTCTGTCAACTTTATTCCAATTTTTCGAAAGCGTCAAAGATTGTGAGCTGTACGCTCCAGCGGATCAGCGCATTACTCTTCTCCCCGGCACCCGTGCTAACGCCTTGTGCACATGAAGCTTCATAATTCCAAAACACTCGTGCTTTGTTTGAKTAGCATCCATCTTATTAAAAAATTTTATTTCGAAGATCGACAAGCCTAATCCACATCAGCTCTAATCCCCACCTTGTAATAGGCTTGTATTAGAGTTCTCATTGAATTTGGATGGGCTAGCTAAGAACGTAGTCGTGTACACTGGGCTACACTTAGATTGGTTTCATAGGCCAGTACCCCGTTATCCGATCCACTACAATCAATATGTCACGGTCTGACACAAGCTTTCTATCTATCCTTTGGGTGACAGGCTTTGTACTTATTATAAGGGCTATAAGACGATCAAGTCTATATCGGCTTGGCCGGGCTTAATTTCGGGCCTACATTTTTCATGTATAAAATATATAATAAATGATATATTACATGCATATAGAATTATTTTATATATTATATAATATAAGATGTTATTATAATATAATTTATACATGTAATATTATCATATTTATATTTAAAATATATAATATGTATACACACACTATATAGGTCTTTACTGTTAGTTGACCGTTAGTTAACACCATCACGTAACATTAGGTATGCATTAAATAATTTCAAAATGGCAAAATTACCCTTTATGATATTTTTCTAACCATTTTATCCATTTTGTGTAAGTGTTAAAAGAAGGAAAGGGGAAGAAGGGTTATAAAACTGGACAGGTGATCGTCTAATTATAGTTGATCATTGAACAACGGAACTTGAACAAGGGAGCTTCAACAGTTGATCGGTGTTCGGTTTCATAACCCTTCTTCCCCTTTCCTTCTTTCAACACTCAGACAAAATGGGTAAAATGGTCAAAAAACTTTCATAAAGGGTAATTTTTCCATTTTGAAACTATTTAATGCACACCTAATGTCACGTGATGGTGTTAAGTAATGGTCATCTAATGGTAGGAACCTATTAGACACAAATTGAAAGTTCAGAGTACTACAAAGACACATTTTGAAGTTTGAGGATTGGCTTGACACAACCCCCAAAGTTTAGGGTACTTTTCAAGAATTTTCCCTAAATATATGCAGGTCAAGCTGAGCTTGAAGTACTAGGGCTAAGCTCGACACCCCTACTTGGTGGGTTGTGTTAAGTGGCATTGTTGTAAGTTTTGCCAATATGATTTTTCAGAAAAATGACATTACTTTCTAGAAAACCTTTAAAAGCTTAACATCCTCTTTGAAGAGGGGTGGTTGACTTCCTTGAGTGCCTACCCTTGAAACTGCCAACTCCAACATCCCTTATGAAGCAACCCTGGTTAATGGCTAGCATGGATACCAAGGTTCTTCATTGGACAGTGCATGCACCGGCACTATGCAATGCACATGTAGGTGAGGCTTTGCACATGGGTTTGGCCTAAGTATGTCCCTACACTTCGCCAACATTGTGTCTATGCTATTCAAGCTATCTCAATGTTCAAGCACATTATGTATTCACAAGACCCAGTGATTGCCTTACACATCATTGGCATAGTCCCCCTTTGGCACGTAAGTGGTGCATCCTGATGAAGGGTGATTTGGCACGACCCAACAAGAAGCAGACACATGGGTGCGATTTGATCGAGGGGTGACAACTCAGCTAGGCGAACCTAGTTCGCAACATCCGGAGCTCAGGTATTCAGCCACCTTGGCCCAAAACCCACCTCAGTGTAGAGGCACCTCGACACCCAATCCAATTCGAGACTAAAGAATCAAAGTTCTAGCTCGGAGCTAATGAACCGAAATGCTACATAATTGACTCCAAAGGCCTCCCCAACAAATCCCGAATTTCTCGAGATCACAATGGGCAACAGATCCCGTATTCTTTAGATCATGATGAGAACTCATCCCGGCTCCACCTGAATCAGAGGTAAACGATAAACCTTATCAACATATTACTCTCCTTCAAAAAATGAAACAAACCAGTTTGGAGTTCGAGGTGCGAACTCGAGACAAGACCTCTTTGTCCCTCACGATAGCCAATTCGAGCCCTACAACCAAGAGAATCCAACGAGAAGGAACTAGGATCTACCCTGCGATAATGCCGAAGTACCAGACCAGACTGAAGTTAGCAGCAGCAACGCCGAGCCAGTGAAGAAGCAGTAGCGACGGTGTCATAAGACACGCTGCCCCTCGGCCAGAGGCAGCCCGCTGGCGAAGCCAGGCCAGCAAGAAGAGCAAGCCAAAGGAAAGGAAGAAGTGAGCTCGGTGGCTACGAAGACTGTGCCTCCACTACTTTGTCGATCATCCCCTCTATCTCCCAAGCTCTAGGCAACTCCAATGCCAAAAGATTTTAAGATGCCCCCATTAGACAAGTATGATGGGTCGTTTGACCCCAATGACCATGTGGACTCTTTCCAGTCTCAGATGCACCTAGCTGGGGCTGATGAGTCCTGCATGTGTGAGGCATTCTCCACTATGTTTAAGGGGGTAGTCTGAACTTGGCATCAGAACCTCACGCCAGGCTCCATCAAAAGCTGGTCCCAGTTCGCCGACCTGTTTACTACACACTTCATTACCAGTAAGAAGTGCCTCAAGTTGCAAGAAAGCCTTCTGAACGTGGTTCAGAGGGAGGGAGAATCGATTYGAAGCTATATAAAGCTCTTCAACGATACTTGCTTGCAGATACCAGACCTCGACCCGGCGGTACGACTCACTGCAGCAAAGAAAGGAATCACCCATAAAGAGTTTAAGTGGCATGTGGTAGCTAACAAACCAAAGGACATCACTGAGTTTCTCAAGTTAGCAGATCAGTTCATCGGTACCGAGGAGGAGATCAACCAAAAGATTGACAATCCACCGCCGGAAAAGAGGAAGAGAGAGAATGAAGGAATAAGCAATGGTGGGCAGAAAAGGAAGAAAAGCAAGTCCCCAAGCAGGGGAAGAAGCAAGTCAAGAAGCCGGTCCCCCTCGCGCACCCGCAAGTCAGGTCGGCGCTCTAGGACCCCACCTATGGAGAGAACGAGCTACACGCCTTTGAACGCCAAGTGAGGAGAGATCTTAATGGCTATAAAGGACTCCTCCTTCGTCAAATGGCTTCCCAGGCTAAGGGGAGACCCGACAACAAGAAATCTGAATGTCTACTGCCATTTCCACCGAGATCATGGACACAACACGAATAATTGTAGAAATCTCCGTGATGATATCGAGCAACTTATCCTCCGTGGATACCTGAAGAACTTCATATTGCGAGAAGAGAGGGGACAAGCAGACCGGCAGGCAGATCGATAGGGGGACCAGAGGAGGAATGGCCCCGAGGCCAGCAGGCAGAATGAATAACCACCACGACAGTTGTCGGAGGAAAGACCAGTTCGCAGGGTAATTAACATGATCACCAGCGGATCCATCATCGTTGGATGCACATTGACAGCTAGGAGGACCTCGGTCCACGAACTGGAGACTAAAGAGGAAAACCCGCCAAAGTGACATCTACTCGAAGAACCGATATACTTCACTAAGAACGATGCACACGGGATCCAATACCCTCACGATGATGCCCTAGTGGTGAAGCTAAGAATTAATGACTTCGAGGTAAAGCGCATCTTAGTGGACACAGGCAGCTCAGTAGATATACTCTTCAAGGAGACCTTTGACAAACTACAATTACAACAGAGCGACCTAAAACCAGCGGATACGCCTCTGATAGGGTTCAACGGCGAGGAGGTCATACCTCTTGGTTGAATTACAGTACCTGTGGAAGTCGGCATGTGGCCAAACATCATGTGATTCGAGCACATGTTCCTCGTAGTCGCTACTCCCTCCCCCTACAACGCCATAGCAGGTCGGCCTATCATGCATGTTTTACGTGCAATAGTATCCACTTACTATTTAGCAACGAAATTCCCAACTGATTACGGAGTGGGAGTAGTGCGAGGTGACCAGCTTGAATCACGCAAGTGTTACGTGGCTGCCCTAAAAGGAAAAGCAAAGCTAGCAGAGGATGTCGAGCTCAAGCAACCAGTGGAGTATACTGATAAACGAGCTGCCCTGAAAGAGGAGACGGTCCACATACCAGTCTCTACCATCGAACCAACCAATACTCTCCATATCGATGCCACGATCAGCGAACCACTCTGAACCCAGCTAGTAAGTTTCTTATTTGAAAATTTAGATATTTTTGCTTGGTCCGCGACAGAGATGTCCGGGAATGACCCAAACATTATAACTCACAAACTTAATACCAACCCTTTAGTCAGGCCAGTAAGGCAGAAAAAGCGCAACCTCACCCCGGAACATTAGAGGGTAGTCGATGAAGAGGTTGGGATGCTCCTCGCGGCAGACTTCATCAGGGAAGTCCATTACCCGAGCTGGGTGGCTAACCCGGTTCTGGTGAAAAAATCCAATGGCAAGTGACGCATGTGCATCGACTACACCGACCTGAATAGAGCCTACGAAAGATTGCTTCCCGCCACCCAAGATCGACCACCTAGTGGATGCAACCTCAGGGCATGAGTTGCTGAGCTTCCTGGACGCCTATTCTGGTTACAACCAGATTAAGATGGATCCTGTTGATGAAGAGAAAACCACTTTCATAATTGAGCTCGGGTTATATTGTTACAAGGTCATGCCCTTCGGATTGAAAAATGTTGGGCAACATTCTAGCGCCTTGTAAATAAGATTTTTGAGTCGTTAATCAGCAATAAAGTAGAATGCTATGTTGATGATATGGTTGTGAAGACCCAATTTTCAAATTTTCTGTTGAATGATTTAAAAGATGTTTTTCAAATTTTGTGAAGATATAACATGAAGTTAAATTCAAATAAGTGTGCCTTCGGAGTCAGTTAAGGTAAATTTCTAGGCTA